AAAAATGAGCCAGGCATGGTGGCACACGCATGTAGTTCCAGCTACTCAGAAGGCTCAGGCAGGGGAAGCACCTGAACCCAGGAGGCAGAGGTTGCAGTGAGCCAAGATCACACCTTTGCACTCCAGCCCGGTGACAGAGTGAGACTCCATCTCAAACAAAAAAAACAAAAACCTAGATGACAGGTTGATGGGTGCAGCAAACCACCATGGCACATGTAGACCTATGTAACAAACCTGCATGTTCTGCACATGGATCCCAGAACTTAAAGTAAAATTTTTAAAAAAGTAAAGCTTATATAAACAAGCACACAAATTCATGCATCCTTGCGAGTATTCTCCTTTAAATTTGTTTCCTTGACAGAATAAATCCAAGAAATCTAAATCTGCTGCACAACATGGTAGCTATGGTTAATAACATATTACATTCTTGAAAAGTACTAAGAGAACAGATTTTAAGTGTTCTCACCACAAAAAAAAAAGTATGTGAATTAGTGCATATGTTAATTAGCTTGATTTAGCCATTCGGCAACGTATACATATTTCAAAACAACATATTATATAAGTGTATTCAATTTTTTGTCAATTAAAAAGTTAACCAATAAATAATAAATTTTAAAAATGTGTCTCCTTAAGAAGGCATTTTTTCTAATGATGTTGGTTACTGCTCAAAATACTGTGACTTTTTTTTCTTTGAATCTGTAATCAGAGCCAAATGCACAACATCCTAAAATATCTGTCTCATCAATTAGATCTTGAGTTTTTTATATCATTGTACAGTCAAGGTTGATCATCTTTTCCATCAGACAAATCTGTCTTTTAGAAACTTTTCCAGCTCAAATTTACCCTTAGAGGATGAAGATTTTACTATCACTGGTATTACTAAATGTAAGAGTTATAGGTCAGACGTGGTGGCTCGTGCCTGTAATCCCAGCACTTTGGGAGGCCAAGGCAGGTGGATCACTGGAGTCCAGGAGTTCAAGGCCAGCCTGGCCAACATGGTGAAACCCTGTCTCTACTAAAAACATAAAAAATTAGCCGGGCATGGTAGCAGGCACCTGGGCAACCCGGGAGGCTGGAAAAGGAGAATCGCTTGAACCCAAGAGGTGGAAGCTACAGTGAGCCAAGATTGTGCCACCGAACTCCA